GGGAAGGTGCAATTTTTAAATAATTATAGTTGTTTTTTGTATTTTGTTTTGTTTTTCTAGATAGGATCTCACCATATAGACCAGGCTGACCTTGTGCTTGCTGTATAGCACAGGCTGGACTTGAACTCATGATCCTTCTGCCTCAGGCTCCTGAATGTTGGGGTTATGGGCATGTACCACTACTTCTGGTTTGGGAAGGCTTAATTTTTAGCTACCTGTAGGTTGACAAGCTAGTAAGTTTTTGACAGCATGGAACTTTTTATAAACTTTATTTTCTAACCTGAGGTTAGATTAGGTTTGTAACACTTTAGCTGCTACTGTGATTGCTTTTAGACAGTCTGCACCTGCTTTGACGTCTGGGTCAAATGGTGGATATTGTCAGTACCGCCTTTTCTCTATAGCTAAGTCCTCAGGGCTTTGGTCTCATGAGGAGTGTGTGTGTGTCAAGATGAGTAGGCTCGTGAGAAGACAGACGAGAGTGGATGGTCTTTATCTCCTAGTGCTGCAACTTCACAGTGGTGACAGCTGCCTTGAGGTGCAACTTTTCTTTGCCTGGACCTCTTGTTTTTGAGTTTTAAGATGTGCAAGGAGGTCCTCTGATCATGGTCCTTGTAGTTGTTTGAGCTATGAAGACATAAGTGTTGGATTCTTTTCCTTCAGCATTTGATCCTTTCCTGGTTCTAACGTTCTCTAGATTGTTCAGCTATGATGACCATATCTTCATTGAATCTTATTTATTTACTTAGCAGAACTATAGTTTGGGCCCATGCTCTTTGCATTGAGTTATACTTCCAGCCCCTTTTATTTTCTTTTTAAAAATTTGAGATAGGATCTTGCTAAGTTGCCCATGCTGGGCTTGAGTACATGATCCTCCTGCCTCATTTTAACAATTTTTTTTTTCAATATATGTGCTCCCAAAGCGAGCATATTAACATGTTTTTGAAGCAAGGTCACCACTCTCTGATCCCAGAGCCCATTAGTAAATAAGACCACAAGGGCTATTTCAGTTCCAGGAAGAACTGCAGGACTCCCTGCTGTGTTTAAGACCAGTGTGTTTAACAAGTGAGATTTCTAATCTAGCCCTGTAATGAGAGACTGAGTCATCTTTTTTCTGTTTACATGTGGCATAATAGACCATTCAATCTTCTGTGGGAAGACAATGGCAGAGCTAAGAGGCTTTCAGCTGCTTTTCTGGCATTTTGGGGCTCCCTCGAGGCTGTTGGTACTTGTCCTGTCTTGCTTGTCCATTTCTGCGCTTGCAGGTCCCTGAGTTTAGGTATAAACTGATACAGTACAGGAAGTCCAGGGCCATAGGTTCCCATCAGGATTCTGAATTCCCTCATCGGCTTTCGTGGATTTTCGCTGGGGTTTGGAATATCTTTGCCAAGTTCTGAGTCCAATTTTTGACCAAGGAGTAAAAGTAGTTACAGGATCCAATCAGAGCTGTTTTGAAGGCCTAGCTTTCTAAGGTATTAGCCTATGTACTTTTTCTCCTTAGCCTTGGGCTGCAGGGGTGTTTGAGCAAAAAGATTAGCAGGTTCAGGGCAAGAAGGTCAGTGGCTGGGTACATGCTGAGCTCTTGACTGTAAGTACCAACCCCCAGACAAAACAGCAAAATCTGCTGTCTCTGGGGTGTTGGGCATCCCTTCTTTTCCAATGTACACTGTGAACGAACAGTTTGAGCTAGACTTACTTACCTGCAACTCTGGTAAAAGATACCCATTTCTCTAGGAAGGCATGGAGAGGGGCTCCGTAATTTCAACACATGAAATTTGCTGGAGTTCCAGATGGCAGAGTCCTAGACACCAGTGCTATTGAACCTGTAATACCTTGTCTCTCTAAAACTTACCTCCTGGAGGCCTCCAACTGGACCTGCTCAGTTCCTGCTGAGTACTCAGTTTGACTTGTGGATCCAAGTGGAACCAGAACTATACAGGTAGACTCTGAGACCAGAACTATACAGGTAGACTCTGAGGGCTCCAGATGTAAGGTATGAGACTAACATTGGGCCTCAGAGGCAGCCTGAAAATAGTGAACACAAAGAGTGCACTTTTGCTTGGTTCCCTGATGTTCCTGGAGGTCACCAGTAGTCTCTTTTGAATCCCACTGCTGCCACAAAAATGTAGATGAAAATAGTCGGGCACAGTCAGATTTTATCCAGTTTGAATACGTGGATTGGGAATACCAGATTGAAAGCCTTAGTGTTACAGTTTGATGGTGCCAGAGATATGTACTTAAAGAAAAAACTGTAGAAGCCAAATAAATTATCTCATTGCTTGCAGTTACAAAGTTGCCTCTTTTGATTTACCTTGTTAGAATACCCCTGATCACATGATCATGTATCAGTTGGCTATTTATGACTGGCTGAAAGCAATGTGTGTTTCTGTCTAACATAAGCAGAAATAATCACACAACTCAAATTTTGCTTATCTTTTCAGTTTCAGCAAGATTAAAGCTATATTTAATCTTGCTGCAAAATCTAAGGCCTTATTCATTTTATTTGCTCAGGGATTTTTCAGGCCTTATCTCCGTTTTAATTTGGCTTTACTTCCTCTTGGGAAAACGCCATTTTATCTGTTAGTCTCAGATATAACAAGTAGGGGAATATTGGGGTTATTTTCGGTGATGTGAATTTATTGGTTGATTGTGCTACTGAAGATTGAGCTTGGGGCCTTGACACTGAGCTATATGCCTGGCCCTTTTAAAAATCTTTTTGAGACACGGTCTTGCTGAGTCGATAAGTTGCCCAGGCTAGACACATTTGAAGTCCTCCTGCCTCAGCCTCCAGAGTGTTGTGATTACAGGTTATTGTGCCACCAAGCCTGGTGTGAATTAATCTGAAAAACACACTGTGATAAAGAAAAATTTTTCATGACACTCATTAAGATGGTAAGGTAGACATTATTCATTGTTTGGGGAGACATGTGGCCAGGGACATTCTTGCCACAGGGCCTTGTGGGATTGGACTCAACTCTGACCCCACAAGGAGGAGGAGTAGTAGGGTTGGAGTCAGGAAACAGAAAATTACTAGGGAGAAACGTGGAGGGCTTGTGGCTAAACAGGCTCCAGGAGACCACGGTGATATCACAGGGGGCCACGTACCAAGGGTGTTAGCCCTCCACTAAGTGGACTTCACAAGATTCTTCCTCAGAATGGTGTCCACAGCCAGGGTCAGGCAGACAACTCTGAGGAGCTCCATGCAAGCATCTGTGAAAGGAGAGAGCCTTTGTCATAGGAAGTCAGAGCCCAGGACAGCATCTCATGATTTGCTCAGTCACATCCTGCAGATAATGGGAATATTGTTCAGGGTAACACAACTCCTCTAGTATCTGAACAGACTGCTATGCTCATGATTCAGTTTTTCTTATTTCTGGTTTTTTAGGAATTCTGCGTCTGCTGCCAGGCTCCCTCTTCTCCCTCTTGTCTCTTTTCAGGGCTTGTATGTGTCCCCTCTTCCCTGTGCTTTCTCTGGGTGACTCCTCTTTGGTGTACTCACATTTAGCAGTTGACTAAATTGGATCTAATGGGAAGTGGAGAAGGGAGGAGACATTGCTCTTCCCATTCTAGAGGAGGAGTTCCTGAAAGAAGAAGCAGACCAGGCGGTTCACCTGGATGCAGACTGTAGTGATTTTCTACCATTTGCATATCCCTGGTTATTCCTGACCTCATGTATCAGGAAGATGCCAGTCGTCATTCTTACTGTAATCATTGCTCTCCTAAAAAGTCTTCAGCCTGTGATGAATAAGTCCTCAGATGCCTTCATTTGGGGACAGTTACTTCTAACAGAAATGTGATGCTGCCTGTTGGTTGGACCTTTCTGGGAAGAATAAAGCTTTTTTCCTTAGAAAAAAAATCCCATAGTGATCAAGCAAATGCCTTTTTTTCCCTAGAAGAGATCATAATTAGTGAGTCATACTCTATAATACAAGGACAGATTTCTTAAAAGATGCATGGCCATTGAACTTTCCACTCAACCGGTGAACCAGTCTGCAGAATAAGAATACTGGGCCAGTCTTCTAAGATGGAGAAACATTTCTCAGTTTTTCAAGAAGCAATGTCTTAGTTGTTTCCTTGTTGCTGAGACAAAGTACTCTACACTCAAAAGTTAAAGGAGAAAAGGTTTATTTGACTCACAGTTTGTGGAGGTGTTAGCCCGAGGCAGGGTGTCATGGCAGAGGGCGTCACAGAAGAGAAACAGTTCATGGCAGGCAGAAGACAGCAAAAGCAACAAGCCTCTTTCTGCCCCTTAAATTGTATCTAGGCTACCTGCCTGTCGGGTGGATTGCACTCCACACTTAATCCCAGCACCTCTAACCCTAGCATTGCACCATGAATCAATCCCAGCATCATGCACTTCAGATCCACCCACTCTGAAAAGCCGTATGACTGCATGAGCCTGGACCCAAGCCATAACAGGTGATCAAAATATATAATGAATGTTTACATTAAAAAATTTATTACACTAAAGAGCAGATTGATATTCATTCCCTCAAAATACTCCTCTCGCTTTGAACACACTTATCCCATTATTCTTGCCACTTTCTGAAGCAGTTCTGGAAGGCGTCTTTCGTGAGCATCTTTATGAGGTGTGACCCAAACAGTGACGGTGCTGCTGTGTGTCCTCATGCTCCTTCTTCACTGGGTCTGGCACGTGCCACTTCTGGCCCTTTGCCAAAGTCAAAATGACCACGAAAGGTAAACGTTTTTAATGGCTTTGGGACACTGAGGCAGCCTCCACAGGGCAAGTATCTTGCATGTGTGGGAATAAGCTGATAGCATCCGTGTGGTATTGTAGCCTGGGATTGCCCTGATTTGGGTGGTTTTGTCTGTCTGCCTCTCCTTTGCCTCCCATTCTTGAGACACAGTCTTGCTGCGTCGTCCAGGCTGACCTTAAACTCTCAGGGATCCACCCTACACCTGGCATTGTTTTTCTTCTTGATTTAAAGTTTGTTCTACAAAACTCTTGCTGACGCATCTCTATTTTTTGTACATGTGATCAGATTACAGGAGGAATTAAGACCCTGCAAAGTACAATAATACAGCAAGATAAGCGACTGGCCAAAGCAATGGTTGGTGATGGCTCCTTTCACGTTACCTTGCTAGTGATGCAGTTGCTAAATGAAGATGAAGTGAACATGTGAGTAATGTAACTTCCTTGAATATTAGTTTTCAAATTGTTAGTCCAAGATGTATAAGCATAGAACTCAGTCATTAAAATTTGAAAGAAATATTCTTTACTCCAATTAGTAGTCAATACATAGAATTACTGTGCCTAAATATTTTTCTTCTAGACTTTTTTACTCTGTTGCTATCAAATGGCAGCCCTTGGTACACAGCTATTTTGTCCTTGTTAATTATGTAAGCACTCGGGGGTTTGATTCTGCAGTCTAGCTTGGGACTTCTGGGACTATGCTTTAACCACCTTTTATTAGTCACTTGGTTGGGACAGTTCACTGGCTATCTTAGCAAATGGGGACAGTCATACTACTAATCCACTCAGTATGGTCCCTGGTGGGTGGTAGGCACTCCATAATAGCCATCAGAGCTGCTGTCTTTCTAGGAGAGTGGATAATTGCTGTTTCGCCTGAGCTGTCCCTGGAGTCCCTGTATGCCACCCCACCTTTGGGTGCTAGAAGTGAACTAGCAGCCTAGCACTGCTTTCCGTTCTGGGATGGCAAACCTTGCTCTTCCCGCAGCTGTTGGGGACACTGCCAATGCCCCTTGCCCTGCTGCTTCTGTGCAGCCCGCTGATGAGACCCAGGCTTTTGCTCTTGGAAAGCCAAGGCCAGAATGACTGCAGGTGGCTTGTGTTTTATTCCTTGACATATACATCCCCCTTAGGAATGAAGAACAAGCCTTGGATTAGGGGAGGGTGGAGACAAGGTAAAAGAAAAAGAGGGAAAACAAAATAGGTTGCTAACGCAGAATATCCAGCTCCATGAGATGATCATAGCTATGTCCGTAGAGATCTGTCTGCTGTTCTGTCCCAAGCTGTCTTCTCGACAGCAGCCTCGGGCAGCCTTCTGGGACAGCGAGGAGCTGAGATTTTAGTTTATTGAGGTAGATAGTCCTTGTGGAGAGAAGCACTTTAACTAGTCACCTTGACAGGAGAAACCAGGGAAGATGTGACCCGAAAGTGAATGGCTGAACATGGGGAGGAGCCCCTGGGTGTGTTAGGGTAGTGTGACTGTCAGGGTTGTCCAGGGAAAGAGCCCAGGGTGGCTGTCTCACTGCCCGGCAGGCAGATCTGCTGTGTGAATCAAGAATTATCTAAGGAACTGGCTTAATGTTGCAGTCTCAAGTCGGGGGCAGTGTTGAGGTAGAAAGCTTCCTTTCTCTGGGGATCTCAGTCTTTTTCCTCAACACCTTCAGGTGATTGGAAGAGGTCTGCCACAGGCCTGAGGGCAGAAGTGTCACCTTTCAAATGGCTTGAGATTCAAGGTGTGGCCTCAGTTCAGGCACCTCATCGTATAAAACCCATTGTTTTCAGGAAAGACATTGTCTACGTGGAGGACTTTTTCAAGTCTCTAGTCATTGATCTTACCTTGTGGAATATAGAAGCTATCTGGATGTCAGTTACTTAACCTGTATTTATTTTTCCTTTTTAAAGCACAGTAGCATGTGTTAGTGTTTAATAAAGTATTAGCTAATGGATTGGACATGGAATATGCAGTTATTTTTAAAATCAGGAACTCACTCAGATAAATATTACCTAAGGTCATTTGTGTCTCCACAGTATAGGTAAAGGAAAGAGAGACATGCACCACGTGTGTTCTGCACACCTGTAACCCCAGCACTCAGCAGGACTGCTAAAAGTTCAAGGTCTGCTTGAACTATATAGTGAGTTCCAGGCCAGCCTATAGCATAGCAGGACCCTCTCTCAAGCTCTCCCCTAAACAAACAAACAAAAAGAAATCCACGAGGCCAAATCTAGCAGTTGATTTGATATTATAGCTGTCTGATCTTAATTTGAACTACCAACTTTGGTTCTGAACTCCAGCTTCAAAAGTCTGTTTTATATATGAATATACTTTAAAATTTTTTTTACTGTAAAGAAGTCTTTTTATAGACCAGTCTCGGAATGCTGTTCTGTTCTGTTCATTTATTTTTTAAGGCAGAGTCTTGCTATGTAGTACAGACTGGCCTTGAACTACTGTGTAGCTCAGGCTACCCTTAAACACATGGTGATCCTCCTGCCTTAGCCTTTCGAGTGCCACCATGCCCGGCTTGTATTTCATTAAAGAAAAGTAATGCATAGCATTTACTCTCTCTGAAAAGTCTTGGCCTTTCTTGCACCTGCTCAGCCATACAGTTCCTTTGAAATGAGTGTCGTGAATTCCCCAAGTTGCCGCAGATGAGCCCGAAGTGGTTTTCCTGCTATCTCACGCTTTGCTTATGGCGGGGACAGTATGGAGTCAGTATGTGTGCTGTGTCCTTCTAAATGACCGAAAATACAATGAGAGGAGGTCGAATGTAGTATGTGGACGTGTGGGGACATTGAGAGATGTTAGCGAACGTTAACAAATGTTAACAAATGTTCAAGGCTGATATGAAATACCGCGCTGTCTGTGTCCTAGCAGGGGAGGAAAGCTGAGAGTCAGGACACGGTTACTGTCGGAAGACTAATTTACACACGTGAAAGCCCTCGGAAAAGACGATGTTTTTGTTTCACACTTTTTACTGTGAACAAATCATTGATCAAGATAATTTAATTTAATGATGGTGGTGCTCGCTTCAGCAGCTCATGTGCTAAATTAACAATGGTTTGTTTATCAGAAGGGCCTCTGAAAGCCCCTTCCAGACCTGTGTGCTTAATTCTTTTCTAAGTAACTGCTGCCCTCTAGTGAGAGTTTGCTTTTCTTCTGCATAATAAAGTGCCTATGCCAGAATTCTCTCCACGGTGAAAATAATGGATCCTACTTTTCAAAATATTCAAAATCTTTTAATGTCTGATGATTACTGTGGCAAACAGTTATTTTTATAAATAACCATAGCGATTTGACAACACAAGGTACCTCAATAAACAGAGTCTAAATAACTGTAGCAAGCATATACATTCAGTTGGGAAATATAATTAAGCTTATATTTCATTTGAATACAAGTACAGTGTTATTATCTTATCCTAGAGGAAATCATATTTTAAGAGGTAATGTGGATTCAGTCTTCATAACATGCCTTGTAAATAGTAAGTACTGTGTATTAGTAGTTTTATCAAAAACCTAGGGCTTTTCACATAGACAAATATAAACTTTTATAGGTACTGCTTTTATGGCCATATATCAGTAACTTTTTGAGTTGTATATATAGTATTAGTAAAAATTTCTTTGTGAACTATAAAATAGCATTTACGTTTATATCTTTAATGATAATTAGATATAATCTTTAATTATAATTACATAAAGATTTAATTTCTGTGATTCTCATTTAAAAACCAGGATTAGCTTTCATCATCCGGGTTAGCTGTAGAAGGTATTTTTACCTCTAGAAGGGGTTAGTTTGCTCCTTACTTGACTTTGTGTGTGTCACGCCTCCTGTGTTACTGAAAACCCTGTTACCTCTTCCAGCGGTGTCGACGCACTTTTGGAATTGAAGCCGTCGGTAGAAGATGTCCTCCAGGGAAGGCGTCTGATATTGCCCTTCCACGGGATTGACACTTTTGGAAATCACGTTGGCTTTGTGAAGCTGGCGGAGGGGGACCATGTCTCCCCACTTTTAGAGATTGCAGGTAAAGCAGTCAGCAGTATCCTCACACAACATCTTACCAGCTGAAGAAGTGACGCTTTGATTCTTATCATAGAGGCTTGACATCTTTTAATTTTTGGAGCCAGTATGCAATAATTTCTTTTGTTTTTTGAGACAGGATTTTGCTACATTGTTCAGGCTGGCCTTGATCTCCTTGCATAGCTCAGACTGGCCTTGAACTTGCTGCAGTCCTCCTGACTCAGCCTCCGGAGTGATTAGAGGCATGCACCGCTGCACCCACCGAACTATAACCTCATTCTGAGTCAGTTGCTTTGGTGCTTGCTTGTGTGAGTAAGGGATTAAACAAAGTGCCTGGAAAGTTATCTTGACCCTTGGGCCTGAGGAATACGTTCATTCTGGGGCTTTCTGGAAGGTGGTGGACTGGACTCAAGTATTACCCACAACTCTGAAGGGTTCTAGTGCTCATCATGACATTTGACAGGAGGCAGACACTTAAAAAGCGCTAGGTGAGTAAGAGTCAACAGTTGCCTATCAAGAGGCTTGTGGGAGTCACCTTGTATCCCAGAGAACCGAGCGATGACTCAGCCCCAGGTCCCTTTGCTCTGCTGCCCGCCCTGCTTTTCAGCTGTTGCTCTGAGCAGAAAGCCATTTAGTGATGGTGTAAGACTTGACACTGAGTGGAGACCGTTTGTCAGTACTGGAGTCAAAAGTATCAAGGAATTATATGTAAAACACACACACACACACACACACACACACACACACACACACACACACACACAGACAACCTGTGAGTGACTTATGGGTTTGATCAGAGGTGACAGCTTGGGTGTCACTTCATGTCTCCTCATTTCAGGTTCAGTAATCCTCGGCTAATCGTGCACTCTCAGTGTTGGTCTCCACGTGGCCCACTTTGAGCTTCCTTTTCCAACTTATTCTATCTTCTTTTCAGTTCCCCCTCCCTTTATCTGTATGTTTAAAAATAATGTAATAATGTGAAAATCTGTCTACGGCCATACCACCCTGAACGCGCCCGATCTTGTCTGATCTCAGAAGCTAAGCAGGGTCGGGCCTGGTTAGTACTTGGATGGGAGACCGCCTGGGAAAACGGGGTGCTGTAGGCTAAAAAAAAAAAAAATGTGGGAATCTACCAAGGAAACTGATAGCTAGGATTTGGTTTAATTAGTATGTGGCACTCACTGTTAATTGATTTCTAATAGATACGACGAATATGAAAAACAGTGAGTAGCAAACAGATTTTTTCGCCTGGAAAGTTCTACACAATGTATCGAATACCATCCAAACAATGAGTATGAGGGCAGAATTTTTGCATCAAAATATATTGAGTACCAAATCCTATAAGTTTCAGAGAGTCGAGGACCAAGCTTTGACATTTAACATAAACTATATTGGCTTCACAATCTCTTGGTCTTCTTCTGTTTAAATTACATTAACCAACATTGTGAAGTTGGGGTTTATTATTTCTTTATATTTCCCTCAAAACATGTCCCAGTAGTCTTAACATCACATGGAGCATGTCCTGTCGTCTGTGACCTTTTGTAACATTCTTCCCCCTATTTTATGTGGCTGCTGTGCAGGTCAGTGACTGCTCACTCAAAAGCCCAGCTGGAGTTGAAGGCAGGTTGTAGTGAGGCTCGGGTTTCATTGTTGTAAGGTTTCCTTTTGTGCTGTAGGATATTCCTGATGAATATTTTATGCACATCAGTGTTTTTAATAGGCTTTGAGCATCATTCAGACTACTTGTGGAGCTACAGTAACGTGTTATGTGGCATCAATTGTGTTGCCCAGTATGTGGTTTTAAGTTTGCTTTGTTCAGCATTCATTTGAGTTTATCAGACATGGAGCTGTTTATTTATCTTTCCAGTAAAAGATTTACTATTAAGTGTATTTTACATAAGAAGATTTCATTTGAATTATGAATCAAAAAATTATGAATGCTACTGACAGAATAACCACATGCATCTTTGTTGAGGTTTTTATAAATTTACCTACTCTTTATTCATTTCTTATGCCTAGTGTTGGGCTCAGGGAATTCTACTTTAGCAGAAGTAATTTGTTCTGTCAATGTACAGTTAGTTAACACTCTTAGGTGTTTGAGATTAAAAAAAAAAAACCCTGAAAAAAATGGTCCTTGTCCTCTGTGGAGCTTACCGTCTTGTGCAGAAACAGTGACCAGTTATAATGCAACATGATCAGTTCTGTCCCAGAGGAAGGTGTAGAATACTCACAGGAGGAGGAGGAGGCTGCATTGCAGAGGAATAAGTAAAGGCTTTCTCATTGGCAGCTGGCAGGAGGGCATTCTAGGCAGCGGGAATTCATTGCATGTGCAAAGAAATCAAGGTATATTTAGGAATCCACAGTTAGTTTTACTAGATTATAAATTGCAAGTCTAAGGGTATTGGTAAAATTAGATCACATACTAAACCGAGGAAAGTGGTAAAGATTCGAATAGCAGGCTAGAAAGACAGATGTAGAAAAAGTCTTTGAAAAAATTCAACATCCTGCCATGATAAAAGCCCTGAAGAAACTAAGCATTCAAGGGTCACTCTTTAATCTCCTAATAGCCATATATGATAAGTCACAGCCAAGTTGTTCTGATGGGCAAAAATTGAAAGCATTTCATCTAAAATCGAGAATGAAGCAAGGATTTCCATCATTCCTGTTGAACATAGTTCTTGAAATTTTAGCTAGAGCAAATAGGCAAGAGAAAGCAATAAAAGAAAGAAGTCTAATGTGGTGAGTCTGACTTTAGCACCCTCTTCTACTCCAAACATTTGTAAGTTGTGTCTTTTACCTGTATCCCAGAGTTCTTAGATGTTTTGCTCATGATTTCTGTTTATTTTTCTTAGTGTTTGCTCATGATAGCTCCTAATTTCAAGCCCTGGAATTTTGTCTTTTGCTTGACCTGTGTTGGTGAGGTTTTCCATTACATTTTTTGTTTAACATATTGTGCTTTTATTTCCAGGATTTCTGTTTGGTTCTTCTTTAGAATCTCTTTTTGTTGAATTCCTCCTTCATATCTTGCATTGTTTTCTTTAAGTCGTTCAGTTGTTTATTTGTATCATGTTTGAAGTCATTAATTATTTTATAAATGATGTTTTTTAAAATTCTTTGGAAGTTCATCTACTGTGATGTCTTTAGATTCAGTTACTGATGAATTATGGAAATTTGGAGGAGTTGTGTTGTCTGTTATTTTCATAGTTACTGTGTTTCTATATTTCGATTTCTGTTTCTGTTGGGATGGATGTCTTTTCCACTTTTATTTGAGGGTCTCCTTAGTGTCCAGCCTTCCTTTGAGGGCTTGATTCCCAGCACTGCTCAGAGAGGAGAAAATGAAACTGAGTAATGGTGACAACCCAAAGACAAACCAGATACTGACAGTCAGTAAAAACCAATTAAAAGCAAAACTGATGCCATCCTTAACAATACAGAAGAGATCAGCAATAAGAATTTAGATGCAAGAGCAAACCAGGTGTTGACATACAGTAACAATTTACTAAAGACAGTGACTATACCACCATTAACAATAGAAAAGAAACAAACTATAATTGCATAAAGTAAGCTAAATAGCTAAAAATTAGTAAAACTTAATAGTTACAATAACAAGTTAAGGGCTGGAGAAAGAGAAAAATGAAAGAAGAAGTTATGTTTCTTTTCTTGGATAAGGTCTTGCTATGTGGTCAGGCTGGCCAACTCAGTATGCAGCCCAGGCAGGCCTTAGAATTGTGGCAATCCTCCTGCCTTACCCTCCCAAGTACTGAGGTCACATATGTGCACCACTACACTTGGCAGAAAAGTAAAATTTGTGAAAGAAGGCAGATGAAGAGACGAAAGTGAGATTAAAAAATCCAACTAAAGGATTAAAAATAATAGAATTAGGTAAAAGAAACACATACCCACAAGAAAAATATGAAAAACAAATAAAGCAAAGACCAAAAAGAAAGAAAAAAACAAAGAAAAACATCCACAAAACTCCTCCATGTTGAGGTATTTGAGTGGGTAGTTTCTTTCCAGGACCACCAGATATTAGCATCCACCAAAATAAGGGAGGGATAGTGAGTCACAGCTGGGGCCTATGAGGTTTCCTCAGCTACGTTTTGCTGTCTGAGTGCTGAATCCTGTCCTACATTTCTCCCAGGATGGTGGCTGTCGTCTTGGTATGTTGTCTTCTCAGGGCTGAATTCTCCTTAAATGATTTTCATCTCTGTTGCTGCCCTTCTGTGTATCTTGAGCCACTGCTCTTCCAGCTGGCTGTGGACTGAGGTGCCATGTTGCTCCAAAGGCCTCTCTGTCCATATACCCTGGGACATGGCTCATGTCCGAGTGACACATTTGGCAGCAGAGGAAAGCAAACAGACCATGAGTTCTGTGATGAAAATAGGTAGCAAGGGATGCCAAAAGCTTACAGGACTCAATTCCAGCACTTTAAGACATGGCTACACAGAGAATCGTATGCCTTTCACGGCAGACTGTGGGGCTGTTAAACATTGTCTTTTGCTCCCTGAGGTCTCTACTGGTAAACTTCCCAGGACACACTCTCCCTCTCTGGAGCTGTCTCTTGTGGCTGTGTCCGACCCAGCCATTGTGGTATGGTGACCCAAGAAACCATGAAGTATGGATATTCTGTGAATTCAGCTTCCAGGACAAGTTCAGTCTTAAGCAATAAACCTTTTCTCAAAATGGCTTCCAGTGATCTCACTCCTAAATATGGCAGGTGTTACTTTGGATTTCTTCTCCAAAGGTAGCCTGCTAAGGGAAAGGAGTCACTTTTAGTGTAAAATCCCAAAGTCTCCTTGTACCTTGTAATAACCACAGGCTTTTTCTGGGGCTTCTGACCCTCTCTGAACTTGCCTTGTATTTTTGTTTTCCTCAGTTTTTTTGTGATTTTTATCTTTCCTACCAGTTCTTTCTTTACTTACAGAACTCTTCTCTTTCTCTTGATAAATTTTTGTTTTCCAAATGTCTTGATTCCAGATCGTGGTGATCCTGTGATTTTCTGCT